ACCATGGTAATTGTATGCTAAAGGAGTTAGTCAAGTGTAGAGGACAACAAAAACAAGTATAAACGGCCTACACAAAACAAAAAAAAACTGTGAAAGGGGCGGGCAATTTTTTAAATTAAATTTTAGCATACCAGAGGGTGCCATTTTTAAGTCCCAGGTTGGGAAGATACACAGGAGCATGATTTATTTAAAAAAAAAAAAAACCTTTTTGAGGTTAATCCTCAACCCATCGTAAAAACAAAGAACCCAATGCCAATAAGCAAATAAAAACAAAAAAAAAAAAAAAAAAAAAAACTAACCTCAGAAGTATTTAAACCATGTACTTGTAAGGTCCGTTTTGTTGAGGTGACAAAATGTTATCAGTGGGGAACCCAGCTTCAAACGGAGATGGAACAGGGAAAAGAAAAATCTGCTTGAAAGTAAAACCCACTTATTTACACAAAAAGAAGGGGAAGCCAAGTAAATAAGTAAATTACTCTTTTTAAAAAAATGTTTCTTATGGTGAAAGGTTAAAAAAAACTGTTTCTTTTACTTTTTGTGTCAACACGAGCCCCCCCCTTCCCCAAAATTGGTTTACTTAGCCCCACTTCGAAGTTCAAGGGGCCCAACCACCATCTAGTGTTAGAGTGGGGATTGGGACAAGGTGGGAAGGACCTGAAGAGGGGTTGGATGGGTGGGACTATGAGATTGGGTATGCGTCGTGTGATGATGTCTGCCCCACCAAAAGCAGTGCCCTGCTTAATGGGGGGGGGGACTCCCAAACCATACACTGAGATCCTGTCTGTGGGATAAGGGAAGGAGAAAGGTTTACGGGGGAATTGACTTGTTCTAAGATTTCCAGGACTGCAAGTATTGCATTTGAGGCTGGCGGGACGGGGAAAAACCAGTTGGTGGAGGGGTGGAAAAAACCTTTTCTCACACAACCCTCAAATTCGAGTCTGTCATTTTTTCAAGGCTGTTAAATTCATTTAAATGTTTGTCGTAAACAAAAATTTCTTCCCTAAAAAAAAACTCTTATTGTGAATAGGGTTAGTTTTCAAAAAAAAACAGTTATTCCACAAACTTTACACGGGAAAAAAAGGAAAACTGGACAAAACGAATGGATGTTGAGTTACGTGAATTGCCTTCGCACTGTGTATTTTCCCACCACCCCCCACAATGTTGGGGGGGGAAAACTGCAAGGCAAAACAGGATCGGAAGAAATTTTTTAAAATGCTGGGGACATTGGCCAGGAGGATATTTGCCCCAGGGGTGTCGAAAAATTTTATATTGGCCAAATGCGCAAATTTCCCGAAGGAAAAAAATATATTGCAAATGGAACGAAAAAAAAAAAAAAACAAAAACTGGATTGTCAGAAAACGGACAAAGGCCTAATAATTAGTTTTTACCAGGGGGAAAGGGATTAAAGCCCCACTAAATGGCAGGGCAGGAGCAAAGCAAGTGAATCTCTTGGCAGAACCTTGAAGGAAAAATTGGCTGTTAAGTGAAAGCCGGAAACAAAATAAAATCGGGTGTCCCAGGGGAGGAAGAGTTGTCAAAAAAAATTAGTGAAAAAAAGAAATCAGCTTTTATGAGGCTAGTAACCTCTCAGTGACAAATTCCCTTGAGAAACAACCCTGCATTTTAGAACAAGAACCCAGTTAGAAAAACAAAAAAAGAGGACTTCTTCAGACGATATTTCTAGGCGCTATCTTTGGTGGTTTGTGGCTGGAGGTTTTGTTGCGTTTCTGAGTACCAAGTGGCGGTTGGGGAGTTATTATGACTGGGTCGTTTTTGGGTTTGCCTCCGCAAGCACAGGGACAAATTTATGTAAAAAGCCCACGTTATGTTTTATCTTCTAGGAGGGTTGAGTTTAGTATGCTTACATTAGGTAAATATCCCGATTGGGTAGGATAAAAAAAAAAAAAAAAAAAAAAATGGGGGACCTTGGCCAAGTGGCCCAAAGGGGGACCTGTACGCTTACCGGGGACGGGAAGCTACTTTCAGGGCCTGTTATATGATGGAAAGTAGCATAAAAACAATTAAGGCTATTCTGAAAGCGACCTATTAGGTGTAACGTATTAAAACATTGTTGCTCATCTTTTTACCAACAGGAAAGCAAAGCAAGGGGGGGCAAAAAAAAAAGTATGATATGGAAAGGCAAAGAAACAGGAACAAGCTCTGCCAAAACCCCTAAAACGGACCAAAAAACACTATGAAGCGAACCCCCCCACATCCCAAAAACCACTTCCACGGCAATCACTTAATCCCCCATGGGAGTTTGCCAAAAAGACTCCGAATAAAAAAAAAGCCGTTTATTAAAAATCCACCGCGACCCCATTTTTAAGCCAAAGGGGGACCGAGGGTCCTCTGAAGAAAAAGAGGAAAGATTGCCGGCTCGATTAACGAAAAAACGGGCTGGTTCGTGAGACTGAAAAACGGCTACGAGATCCTGATGGCCATGGACCAGAGTTCAAACCGGGCCGGCGGAGGGATTGGTTTATTTAACCCGCAGGGGGATACGAAGTAAATGGCCCCACCAGGCAAGAAGGGTTGTTTTACGGGAGAGGTGGGGAAAAACAGGAAGAGGAGATTTCTCACTCTTGAATTGTTTACTGAAAAGAACCCAACGACCACAAAAACAAAGGTGCTTTGGTTGATATTTCCAAATTTTTTTTTCTTTCCGTTTGCAGTAAAGTGTATATACCTTTTGAATCATTTTAATGGGGCAGGGACTCCTGAATCATTGCCCCAACCAGAAGTAATGCAAATAATATTCCAAACTTACCTTTGTCGTGCATGTATTGTTCCACCCCCCCCCAAAAAAAAAAAAAAAAACAAAATAAAAAAAAAAAAAAAATAAAAAAAAGAAAAAACAAAAAAACAAAAAAAAAAAAAAGATGAAAGAAAAAAACACAAGAAAAAAAAAAACAAAAAAAAAAAAAAAAAAAAAAAAAAATAAAAAAAAAAAATACAAAAAAAAAAAAAGAATAAAAAAAAAAAAAAAAAGAAAAGAAAAAAAAAAAAAAAAAAAAAACAAAAAAAAAAAAGAAAAAATAAAAAAAAAAAAAAAAAAAAAAAAAAAAAAAAAAAAAAAAAAAAAAAAAGAAACAACAAAAAAAAGAAAATATAGCGACAAAGAAAAAAAGAAACAAAAAAAAAAAAAAAGAACCCCCACCCCCCCCACCCCCCCCCCACCACCCCACCCCACCCCCCACCCCCCCCCCCCCCCGCCCCCCCCCCCCCCCCCCCCCCCCCCCCCCACCCACCCCCCCCCCCCCCCCCCCCCCCCCCCCCAAAAGCCACAAGTGTAGATATAAAAAGTGTATAAAATGTTCAGTAGTGTAAAAACACCACTTTACCGTTTGCTTATGTTAGGTTAACCTTCCTTCATTGAAAAGTCACCCCTCCCACAATTCATTTGGTTTTTATATAAGGATTTCTTTCCCCACCCCGGAAAAAAAAAAACAGAAGGGCGGGGGGTAAAGGGGGGTGAAGGGAGGGGGGGGGGGGTTGGGGAGTGTGGGGGTGGTAAAAGGGGCGGGGGGTGCGGCGGGGGGGAAGGGGGGGCGGGGTGGGGGGGGGGGAAAAAAGATTTTTTTTTTTGTTTCTTAAAAATTTTTTTTTTGTAAAAAGGTTTACAAAAAAGTAGCCCGACTTTATGGGGGGAACTGGGAACGAGGAATACTGGAGGGGTAATTGTACTCTCTTTGCTCCCTCCTTGTTGAAAGCCAAGAATTCAGCGCCACTCCCTTCTTCTTCTTTTTTTTTTTTTTTAGCTTCATTATTCCATTAAGTAATACTCCCAGAAGCTCTGCCAACCTGAGCCAGGGCTGTACAAAGTGCGGGCTACGTCCTTTCCCAACACTATCCCAGTAGGAAAGCCTGCATATGGAAGAAGGAGCGAACCCTACGTATTTACTTACCTAGTACGTTTACATACCCAGAGCCCCATAACAAATCTATAATGCTAGGTAACACGCCCATCCCCCCCTATATACTAAGCTACTACCGTTAGTTTATGAGAAAGAAGATTGAAGATGCAACAAAACCAGGGGCTGGACTTCTTTCCTAGTTATAGTTACATCATAGCTCATACATCTATATACTTGCTAGGTACCACGCCCATCCTATATAACTAAGTACTTACCGTGAAGGAAGAAGAGAAAGATGGAACACAGGGGTGACCACCACACCTTTCTAGTAGTTTACAACATCATAGCTCATATACATCTATAATGCGTAGGTACCACACACAGACCCCATCCTATATACTAAGTTTTGACTACCGTTAAGGAAAGAAGAAGAAGATGAACACAAGGGCTGACACTTTCTAGTAGTTGACATCATAGCACCATACATCTATAATGCTAGCTAAACGGTACCACACGTCCCTATTGACTAAGTATGTACTCGTTTTAACTTAGTGATGAAAGGTCTAAAAAGGCAGACTATTGGAGAGAACAGACTCTATTAAGTGTACAGTGAAAAGGCCAGATGCGACAAAAGTTAACATGGTGAACGTGAACGTAAATTCACAAAGCGTATATAGTACATAAGGATACACTTATGCGTTCCCTTCATTTCTTCACTGAGGACAGTACCCTTTTTTATAATGGGCTATATACATGTAAATAAAAACATACATCGAGAGGAAATTAAAATCTTACTTCTTCACCGGGAAGTCTACATGTATTAAGGGAGGGACCTTCCAGTTTAAGAGAGGTTAGTATTTAACTACTATCCTTGCCAAAGAAATCATGTGTAAGCACAAAGGAACTCCACCCACCAGTGTGCAAGTGAGGGCACCTTACTGCTGTTTTCGTCTTTAGTTGTCTGTTGATCTCAGAAGGATCCTTCCGTCGACCTTGAGAGCCTCTGCTTGCCTCTTTTCACACAGCACGTCAGGGCCAAGCTGTCAAACTCACGTAGCCCGTCCTGTCATCACGAAACAAACACATATTAACTGTCATTAAACCTCGGCGCGCGATACATGCGCACAGCGAAGGGTTACTGTAGTGGTTTGTCGGTCTGTCTGGTTCTGTCTGTGTGTGGGTTGCGACGGCTTATTCTGGCACTACAGGCTACGAGGCGCCGCCATTCGCGATACCAGCGGCTTTCAGAACTACGCGAGCCTGAAAATAAAAGGGCGATTTTGCTGAGTGTGGAAACGACTGCGTTCGAGAGAAGTCTGCCGTGCCGGAACGAAAACAAGCGGAAAAAAGCCAAATATGCATAATCGCACTGGGAGCTCACAGGACCGAGAAAGCAGACATGAGCGGTACAAGGGGCGCTCGCGCGGACCGCCTCGCTTGCTTCTGTCCTACCTTGGGCGGGATCAGGGAAGTCACGGGAAAATGGCATGTGATCGACGTTTTCCCGAATTGCTATCTAACCACTGATAGCTAGCCCAGCTGTCAGATTCTCGCGGGGTTACTAGCATACAAATAGAAAGCCCAGCCCATCAATTAGCAGTATCGCGCAAGCTGCGCAGGTTCGTCAAGGATTTGCAAAACTTTAGTGCTATTCAATTTTAACATTGTGCCGCTGTAAACACCAAAAGTTTTAAAAAACTAACAAAGTGGCCTCACGCTGTAAAGGTAGATTAAGAAAAAGGAATTGTTCCCAGCGAACTTTGCACGAGAGAGATGACTAGAATAATGGGAGTCTGCGCACAGAGGAAGAATGCGGACTGTGTTCTAAACCGGTATTTCTTCAGCCAGCTCCAGAAAAACGCTCTGCTTGGTCAACATCTCTCTCTCTCTGACAGAGCAGCGGGAAGCGACTTACCCCACGGACTCATTCCAACTCTGCCAGGGACTCGACCGTCTCCGATCCGCGGGGCGCGAGAGAGCTCGCTCGACACTCCATCCCAAACCAGGTCGTCTGGCCATTGACTGACTCCAGCCTCTCTCTCAGTGTTAGTGAATCCTCTCTCAAGGGATCCTGTGTTTTTTGTACACAGTGACACGTTCCGCAGGAGAAATTCTCAAACAACAGTATTTTTACATGTCTACATGAACATTTACCCCACTTAACTACCTCGCCTTCTGTCAGCTGGCTCTCGATGGGTTTTCACGTGACCACCAGGCTGGTGCGCTAATCCGGCTATTGGTGAGAACTCTTTGGGAAACGAGGCCAGCTCCTTCATATGACAGCCGTCAGCCGTAGCCAGTACGGTCTGGAGCAGCTAAGACGGGCTGGCTACATTAGTAATTTTCTTTCTTACATAACTAGATGCAATGTACCTCGTTGACTCACTTCCGTTCACATCCACATTCTCGTTTTTTGCGAGGCAATTACCGCGGAGCCTTTTACTATGAGTGTTGATGTACTTCTAGAGGAAATATGCTACACCTCATATAATACGGTAGATGACAATTACCTCATCTTGCCTTGTTCTCGGCATGGCTCTCAAGGGCTCTTGAGGGGCAGCGTAGCGCCCTTGATATCCAGCTCCCAACCCCACCACAGCCTCAGTGGCTCCGGGCCTCTGAAGCCACTGGGGAAGGGTCTGACGATGGACTCTACAACCTCATCTCGTGTATAGGGCCAGTCCCCCTCTCTCCCTGCTTTCATCATTTAGCTCTTTACTAGACGATTGAGCACATGCAATTTTACATACACATGGTAAAAGTTGCTACCTTTGTACACTCCAAGGACTCAAGTGAAAGATGCTCAGGTCACAGGTGATACATGAGGGGCATTGCCACCATGGAGCATTTAGCAGAGCACCACATGCTGTAGCTCCATGGTTATATATACGTACCATGGAGCTACCATGTAAGGAACACCGTTCGGGACTCACCGTGAAGGAGCGGAGGGGTCGGGGAGAGCGGAGTGACGGAGAGACGGTAGCGAAGGAGTGGCCGATCTGCTGGTGACAGCCGCTGTCGGAGGACGGGGCTCGCAGCTCAGCAAATTGGACGGGCCAGCAGCGGAGAACAACGTCTCTCTCGAATGACGTCATCCCCTCGGACCCATGCTGGTCATAGACTCAAACCCTCTGCGGAAAAAATGCTGAGGAACTCCTGTGGTAGACCACGGGACCAACTATCTCAGGTCTAATACTGTAGAATCTCTGAGATTAAAAGGACACTGTGTGAGGTAGGTATGGGACCAACAAACGGTTTCAGACTGCCTTGTTTCTGGCCATAGGTGTTACACAATAACTAATTCGTTGTTACCAGAGTTAGAGGAAAACACAAACACGTATAGGTATAAAGCTTAAAAACTGACGGTTTCGGAGCCCTCACGGGAGCGGACAACTCTCCCTTTGAAAGGACCACATTATAAGTCTATATTCTAAATGGTCAAACAACTTCACTTTCTTAACCTCAAAAGCAGGAAAAAACCCCATAGAAGGAACTCCAGTACATATTAACTCAAAAGAGGGGAACTGAGACACTTAGCTCACACTGATCTCCAGTTCTGCCTGGTGAAGAGAGCCCGGGGAGGCGATGGAGAGAGGATCTCGAAGAAACCTCAAGTCGTGACCTAATCCTGCCCAAGCCACTGGTCCAACCACATCACACTCCTCTCGTAACTCCCTAAAATCTCCCCTCCCACACCACCCCAAAAAAAAACAAAACCACAACCAGAGCCCTCCTCCAAAACCTTCATTACCAGTGCCGGACCCAAAATTCACACGCCTACGTGATGCGTTCAATATAAATTGCCTACAAACCATACCTGTATATATGCACGTGTGCAATAAGATCATCATGCACATGTTGGAAAGGTGGCCATGGGAACTGTGCCAACTTTATCTATATATAGACACGTACCAGTATTTATGGCACATTCCAAAAGCTGCAGTTAATGGCTATTGGGTGAGGATTAGCAACTTTATCTACTGAGAAAGAGAAGAAGTTGGGAAAAATATAGGACTTACGTATGCGTATTATGCTATGATAATAACCTCAGTAAGCAAGTACTAATTATTTGAGATATGAATTCATGCTATGTACTAAAAAACTGTATAATACTTACCTCTCATTCGTTTTCATCGGCGCTGCGTTCTGGGAGTCAGCCAAACAATGGCAGGACAGAGCCTCCACCTACCGAGTCAATATTTCTTCTCACCTCTATCCTCATCTCAACCCCTCTCCTCCTTCAGAGAGCTTCCCAGAGCCTCGTCTTCTCCACTGTTTCTCGTACGCTGCGGGACGTCTGTTAGGATCGGCCTGGGGTGGAGAGCGAGTGTTCATTGACACACAAGATCAACACCAAGTTTGGGTGTAAACAATTGGAAATCGCGGCAATGTTTATTTTTTAACATGAGTATTACAAAAGCCACATTTTATATTTGCATGATGGAGAAGCCACTCACATTTAATATCATGCGAATGCCACGAGAAGATATCATCAACTGAAAAGACCCAACAAACTATATATAGATTCTCCATTGAACTAAAATTGCGCGTTTGTGATCGTGACTGACAAACAGTACTCACTAGCCCGAAAATATTTTAATTTAAGCCGCACAAAACACACCAAATTATACGTACTGCGTACCTGAACAAACCCTTCGATCTGGCCTTCAACCAGATTAAACAAAAACCCGTGCGGCAATCAGGTCTTGTTTGATTGAGGGTTCCCACCATTCTGTTCATCCACTGCTCAGACCGTCTCCAGTTACATGTACATGGTTGTTAGGTGTGTTACATTACATGTTGGTAGGTGTGATCATGTTATTGACTATTTTTATCACATTACCTGTGCAGAGTACAGTAAGAACAGTTTCATTTGGAGTTGTATTAGGGGAGCTACGCTCTATACTTCAAATAGTGCTACATCATCATGGCGTAACGGATGTATGAATTCGACATACATTAGAGGACGACGGATTTACCAGGACACTTCTCTCAAGGTGACGTAATGTTTACGGCCCTCACTCCACAAGCCCAACCCACACAAACAAATATTCCAAACTTCCAAGGCATAAATTTCACAGAGTGTTGTGCGTCTTGCCTTAAAGACTCAAAGCATCATTGGACAAGGCCACCTGCAATGGACTGAACTCTGGGGTTGTTTTGAGCAAACAAAGCCTCCGTCAGTGTGTAGCAGCGCCAACAGATTCTCCAAACAAGAGCTCACAGCCTCCAGTCGTCATGGCGACGGAGGTGTTCTGGTGGTCGTCGCGGGCGGTCTTGGGGTCACGGGGTCGGTGATGGAGGAGTAGGCGACGACTCACCCTACGCAAAGCGACGCGACCAGCGCGCTTCTCATACCCCGACCCACACCCCGCGCATTTCACCCCTAATTCATTCCCCTCCATTCTTCGCTTCCCTGCTCATCATCCCGAGGGACGTCGCGAGCGGCGGTCGTTGTTGTCGAGGAACGCACAGGCCCGGGGCAAGTAGTGTATTGTTCACCTTCATCGCTGTTGAAAAACAGTTGTGAAGTTAGAGGCAAATGCATCGGTACGCAGTGACGGATCCAGCGTTCCTGGGTTCCGCGAACCCCCCTTTTGGTCGGTTTGCGTTTGCATGCGTCGCACGCCTCATGCGCGACTGGGGAAAATGTTCGCGGACAGCGGAAAATCCCCTTTCATCCCAGATCCGCCACTGCGTAACGTAAAACAATAGCGCTGAGAATTCAATAGGTTCCGTTTTGCAACATTAAAATATTCGTCGTATAAAAATTCGCAGGCCTTAGATACTGCTTATGAACTAACACCCAAACTTACGTATAGCGGCAGATTTTCAAGGACAAAACTACTATATCACAGGCCCAGTATAAGTACAAGCTACCTCGATCTTATTCTTCCTCTGTTCCACAGCTCAGGTTCCGTCGGACACGCCCCCAGGCCTTTGCTACCAGCGAGCCACCCTCTACCCCAACTACATTTTCCACCAACCCAATCTTCACCAGGCCCCTGCCCGTCTAACCCACCTCCCACACTCCCTCCTACTTGCCCCAATTCCACCACCAACACACCTCTCTATCCTCATACTCCCCTCCCTACACAGCGTCCCCGCCCACCAACCTTCTTCCGCTCCCCCTTCCTCTTCTATTTCTTTCTTCATTGTACTACCCCCTCCCCAAGTCCCTCTTCCTTATACTTTGGTCTATGTGCCCGGGTGTCTTGGTATCATGGTGGAAAACAGCCGCATCTAGGGCATTGCCTGCGTAGGGGGCGGCCTGAGAGTGGCGGATAGTCTAGTTTCTCTCATGGCACTCGCTGAGCGGGTTGAGGTGAATAAATGAATAAATTGCTGATACTACATACACTGACACACTCAAGGACAGTCTCTTAAAGAGTCCATGAGTGGTCAATGGAAGATTGAGAATATTATAGTGCACAAGATTTAAAGTCAATCGAGGAAGGTGGGAGTATATATATATATAGAGTAAATTTCGAAATGTCCTAAAAACAGAAGGTATGTATATACCTACGTCTGTATACTGAGTTGTGTTGAAGTTCTCCCACTCTCATGTTGACGTCACTCAGTGGCGGCAGAAGAGCGCTCTCTCCACTCGTTGTCGGCCGAGAGTTCAGAGGTCAATTCGGGACAATGTGAGTGAGTTGGCCTTTTCATCTGCACGTGACGCCACGGCTTCCTATATGTGCCGGCACAGAAAAGATGCCGAGTATTTTAAATGGACATGCATCTAAAAGCACTGCACAAATGCTTAATTGATGGACAACACAAATAGATGAGCCTACCAATGAAATGTGGCACAGTACACACATCACATAAGCAAAATTTCTATAAAGTTCTTAAAGACGGAAAAACAATCGGGCAGAATGCATATTAATACAGCCAGATGTACGTGTTCAAACACACACAAACCTGGCCATTTTGTCTGATGCCTCCTCAATGACTGCACAGATGGGAGCCTCACTCTCAGTTCGCAAAATCGGCCACGCCACTTTCAGCCCACACCCCACTCCCATCCAGTAAGATTCCCTGACACTCCCGCCCTCTCCAACTGCCGCTCTCTCTCACACAGACATCGACCAGTCTCTCTCTCAAATCTCCTACCAGACTCCTCGCGTAGTCATCCCAGTTCGCTTCCAGCTCACACTGCCCGGTCTCGGAGCATTCCAACGGGTTTCCTGGAGACGAACCCCGCACCTGTGGGTGTTGTTCGTGGAAGGAAACGTAGTCGAGTTTCTTCGCCGACAAACTCGGCATGGAGTCGCGGAGTTCAGAGCGAGATGCAGGAGTGTGGTTCAACGTGTGGTCTGCAGAGAGCTGTGGGCTTCGTTATCGTGAGAGAGGTGAAGTCGGTTCGTGGTCAGAGATGACTGCAGTCGATCCTGATAGATCGAGAGTACATACAAAATGTACGAAAACAGTAGAGTGGCAAACATCACTAAGATTTCACAATGATAAATTAAACATAAACTGGTAGCCGCCGAAGTCTGAAAAGCAGAACTCTAGAGATTAATCTGGACCTGGTAATTAATCAACATTTCAGCACGCTTTTAGACCTCTTATGAACAAAAGTAGTAGTGGCTCCATCCGATCTAATTAATCTTTCAGTGGCGCTTTTAGAGTACCAAGTGTATATAAGATAATAGCTCTAAGTTGGCTCACGAACAACATACAAAAATACACGGTTCTCGACAAATGGGTGTCCACTCAATAATACATTTTGCAGGATACTCTGAGTTGATTATCTGCTGTTCGACAAGGGCAGGTGTGGTGCGGGGGAGACAGGTTAGCGAAACAGTCTCCTCACCAGTTCTCGAGTATCTGAAGCCACGCCCCTGCGATGATTTGCTCATGTTGTTGAACAATCGCAGGGAGAGAAACTCTGCTCCTAAAACGGTTTCTCTCTCGTTGTGGCCGCCGCTTACAGACGAGTTGTAGCGATTCCTCCACACCCTCTGGTGGAGCTCTGTGGCAACTGCCGCACGCGGTTTCGTCTTTCCTCATCTAGTTTGTTGGTTGGTAGGCTGTGGTCGCCCCCCAGGGGTGGGGGGTGGTGTGCAACACTTGGCCGAAGCGGCGTCCAGGTTCAGCAGCTGTGGTCTGTAGTCAGCAACCGTCTGTTTGAAATCCTGCATCTTCTGCAGCTGATCCTGTTTGGTGCATGAGTAATGAGGCATAACTCGTGGAAAAGCAATGATTATGATTATGTGAAGAAAGAATTCTATGACGTGCGTAGTAGGGCAAATTTACACTCACTTCTGCAATCAGTTGTTGCAACCCTTATTTCATACTGTCCCAAATTGTAAAAATAATCTGTTTCGAGTTAGCAAGCTGGCATCACAATGGTCATAAGTCATAACATCCTAGCATTATCATTTGTCGCATAATCCTAGTCTTAGACATACATATCTCACCTGTAATTCAGTGACTTGGACAGCACAGGGACACATGGAGCAGATTTGGAGCGAGCGGTCGTCAAGCCAACGCTGGACCGGGTAACAATGGCATCGGAACCCGTGACACTGGTACCGTAGCGACAGCGTCTGGAGACGGGCGCCGAGTTCTGATTGGTCGGATTCATCAACCAGAGTGACGACGTCATTCACAGCCGTCTCCAGTTGCGTAAGGGCTGCTCCGTGGTTCATTACATCGTCCACTATTTCCTATAGTTATGCATAAGAATTTGAACTTTCAACTACAATGCTGGCTGGAAAAAAAAAAAAAAAAGTCACCACAGTGGCACGAAGCTATAAGAACTGCGTGTCAATAATGAGGTAGCAAGGCTAAGGCAAGGCAAAAAAGACGCACATTCCGTCAACGCACAAGAACCTGTTCAAAAACACCATGCGCATTTTCCCCCTTCTCTACGTGTGCGCGCCTCGACGCATGCGCACAAAGTGCGTATGGCTCGCAAGACTAGGCAAAGCACACAAGTCGCACATAATACAGTGACTATGTTTATGCGCATCCAGCCTGAGTGTATATAGAGCTCTTTATAGGGGGGGTGCTTCAAAACGTGCTTCATTTGTGTAACTTCGTTCATATTATACCACTTCAAGGTTTAAGACAGACCTTTGCAGTGGCTAGTTGCTGATCTCTCTCGCTCCCCTCCACGGCAGGTGGAGAGAGAGCAGAGAGGGCCACCTGGCTCCCCGCTAGCCAGACTGAGAACTCAGAGAACTGGTCCTCCATTGGCACCAGCTTCTTCTCCAGTACTGTCAGTGACGCCTGCTTCTCTGCCTCAGTCTAAAGGATGAGAGATACGCAATGCTACTTTCTAATTGACAGAGAAGACACAAGTGCCACTGTTAAAGTGCAGCAAAATTTTATTATAGCCACGGTAAAAACAGCGTTTAGCGCAGCAAAATTTTATTATAGTCACAGTAAAAACAGCTACATAATGTGTATAGTGATGTGTTTTAATGTACGTATGCATGTACCTTATCGCAGGCAGACAGTTGTTCTCGGAGGGCGGTGACGTCGCTCTCAAACTGGGTGTGATCAAACGGAGTGTCGAAAAGGTCACATGACTGGAGGAGGTCGTCGAACTTTGACCTCTCCTGTTCCACCTCTCCGTGTACAGCCTAAGTCGGAGGGAAAATTTAGCAAACAACTCGACTTAACAGTGATGTACTGTTGGATGATGCTGTAAATAAGTAGAACCACAGAATCTAAGAGTTTGTAGAAGATAAAAATGGCACATATGTAGCTCTCCAATACAACTGTTGCTATCGCAACGTACTACATTCACCCCTGCACCAAATTTGGCCACAACAGTCAGTGGGGTTTCTAATGCGTGAACATTTGCAAGACCCTTCGTCTATAACTACGTGCGTATTATTCCAACCTTGAGAGCCGATCTCTTGGAGGCGGACACCATCACTGGTGGTGGCAGAGGTACCGAACTCCCTGAGTCTACGGCCGCACGATGAGACGGAGGAGGAGACGACGGAGTAGCTGGAGTTGAAGGCCTCCAGTCTCGGTATGGTGGACTCAATGGCTTCTATGTCGTCATTCACTATCTGCAGGGAGAAGGAGGAGGAGGAGGAGGAGGAGGAGGAACAAGTGTGTGAGGGTATACTGCTTATCTACTAGAGACACACACAAGGTAAAAGTGAGAGAGGTTATAGTTTGGCAGGAAGATTAATGTAGAAGAGAAGGAAGTGTGAAAGGGGATTGCTACTATAGATATTGACTTAGTAGTGGAAGAACTGAAGTATGGATGAGTGCAACTATGAAAAAAAAATAAATCCTTGCAACACAAGAAGCATCTCACGATTATGATACTTTTGGTAACTAAACACGTCTTGCAGACGATGACAAATCGCTAAAATAGCACGAAAGTCGCTCACCAGAACGGCATTCCACCTCTGCTGGAGGTTGTCAAGGTTCCTCTGCAGCTCCTCCGGGTCGCCGGCCCCTCGACCAATCAGATCGCAGCACTCGGCACGGACCTTCTCAAAGGCGGCCTCGTGAGCCGAAATGTCTCCCGATATGCCCTGTAGGTACGCCAGCCCTTGTTTTAACTCCTTCACCTCCAATTTCAGCGGATCGTCTCTCTGTATCTTCCTCTCAGTCTCTCTCAGCCAAGAGTCAAAGTCTGAGAATATATCTTGAAAAGCCTGCGCACTGAGTAAAGTTAAAGAGACAACGATCAAAGTATTGTAGGGGCTCTACTGAATTATAGTATAATCCCAAGAGTAGCAGTCAGCAGGAGCCGACGTGAGTGCGAAATTTCAGCAGTTTTTCGATAGTTATAAACCAGGCGTGCTCTGGGGCCCAATTCAGACAAGGAAAAAGTTAGTCCTCCATTCTCGGTAAATTTGAACAACACTGAGAAAGTGCCTGTGTATACGAAATACAGGCCTTACTCTGAAAGCTCAGCATTAAGATGATCTTTCATTCTAGCCAGCTCGGCCATCAACTGTCTGTGCCGCCTCTCAACGTCTCCCCTCTCTCTCCCAGCCTCGCTCTCCCTCCCTCCCTCCTCCCCCGGCCCCTCGTTACAGAGCTCGTCCAGGAGCTCACATGCCGACTGCAGTGCCTGGAGCTGTGTCTCCATGGCAACTGCATCCACTTCTACCATCTGAAAAAGAAGGGTTCAAAAAATTGAATGACCAAACTTAAAATGCAACAACTTATCAAGAACATGATGTACCTATAGTAGAAAACAGCCCACAAAAATAAGGAGAATAGGAAAAAAAGGGGAAATATAAACTACAGAACAAGCTCTCGTACTCTCAGGGTCTCCAGTCTGTCCGATATCTTTTCTTTACTCTCTCCAACTTCGCCGCTGCGTTCCTCCAGCTCCTGTAGTCGTGGCAACAGCGTCTCCAGGCAACCGTCAAACTCGGCTCTCCTCTGCGAGCTTCCTGGGCCCTCCGTCTCAGCTGGGCGGAGCCTGTTGCCAGGGAGTCGTACCTCTTCCTTAGAAACGTTGAATATCCTGAAGGAAAAAAATATGTCACAAGCCTGGTTTACAATATGGCGATATAGGCTTTCGTTTCGTTTCGTCTGCTACTGTCGTATCCTCAATTGTAAACAAAACAACAAATGAAAAAACAAACGACATGACAGAAGACAAAGACGAAACGAAACAAAAATCTACTGTCTTATCTTTAGAGATAAAATTGTGTTTCGAAGTACCTTTGACTGTGGTGATCCCATTCTCATACTCCATATTCTGAATTCTGGAGCCGTCGTCGTGACAACGTCGGCGTCAGGATCAACAAAGTAGCTGTGACTGATCTTTGTAGACTCGTCAGTTCCGACCTTTGACCTGAACTGCTGTAGTCTGGCCTGATATGGCTGAATGGAGAGAGAGAGAGAGGATCGACCATTTGTAAAGATGAAGGTCATTAATGACAAAAATTCAACAACTTCCACATAAGATGGTCTTTAAAAACCAGAGCAGGATTCACAAAAGATTGAAGTATTACAAACAGCCACACACAATGTGTATCAGATTAAGCATAACCATGCCACCATGCGTACCAAATTGAACCAGCTTAAGCATAAACGCTCAAAAGCAACTTTCCACAAACAGTTTTCGACTTGCGTGATATGCAAAAAAACTCCATCTGAACTCCATCGAATTTGATTATGGTAGTTGTGAGATGTTTCAGTTGTTGAATCAAACCCCCAGACTGCAGGACGAACCTTGGCAGAAGCCGTGAAGGAGGCTCCAGTGGTTTCCACGGCGTCCAGCTCTGGACCCCTGGCCTCTATCTCCTCCACCAACTGGTGGAGAATGTCACAACTGGCCTCCAGTCCTTCCCGAGACACTGCGAGGATGTCCAGACATAACACTATTCATGACACAACTCTGGTATGTACATGTTCTGACTATATATATTTTCTTATAGTAAACACTATATTATTATTTTGTCAAAAGGCATATTGCCGTAAGTTGGAAATCATACTATAGTACATGGCTGCATGGGGGTGCCCATTACAAATTTCTTACACAGTATATGCATTTTCCACAACAAAAAACTACTAAAACCCACTGCCAGCTTTGGAGGCAAAAGTGAACTGCAAATCTACTAAACAAAGCATATACACAAACACACGTTCCAAACACTCACCAGGAATGGTTGAAGTAGACGCGAGCTTTTTCTCAGTGGACGAGAGCCACTCGTCAAAGGTCGTTGACTGGTCGGCATAGCAACCGAGGTGGGTGTGGCCAGAGGTCGAGAGTTCGACTCTCTTCTCGGCGTCTTCGAGAACAGCCCCCCACCTTGACCTTAGTCCATCGCTGTAGTCATTGATAGGTGAGGTCTCTACCAGTTTGCCGTGAGACGCGAGTTCCGCCAGCGATGTCAGAACTCCCTCCATTTTATCTCCATGCTCTACCTTTACTTCCTCATACAGTGCCTGAGGGAAAAGTATATACAGTATATAACTAGGAATTGCGCACGTGCATATTTTGCCTCGCGCCTGCCAGCCAATGCGTAAACAGTCCGACTGAGGCCGCTTGGCGCGCGCGCTCTACTGACTGCGCGCGAAGGCAGACTTCCTACGAATCTGCGCGCACGGCAGAAGCTAGACTTCCTACGAATGACGGAAGTTACACTTCCTTTTGGTGGCCGAGTGCATTTATAGGCAAACCTGATCGTGTAAGTTGATCGGTTAACAAAAACGCACAAATACTGCATGTATATATATACCTCATTTTCCTCTTTCTGAGTTTTTATGAGAGGCACACCTCCAGCCAGGGGTCGAAGGTCAGCCATCTTAGACTCCGCCCCCTCCAGCCACTGCGTCTCCTCTTCCCAATCTCCCCACCATTTCTTTGCCTCATCCACCACCTGATCCAGCTCCTGCTTACAGCTGAAAGAGCAGAAGAGAAGGTTACCAGTATGATTGATGGTACAGTATGTAATCATTTTGCGCTACAAAAAGGTTCCAAAATGCAATACTTTCGTTTATATATTTGCAAAATAATGTTAACAACTTTACTAACTTATCCACAAGTTTTACGGTATGAAATTGCAACCACCGTTTTGTGGGGTTAACCTGGTTATTTCAGAGGACATGGTGTCAAAGGTTTGAAAAGCCTCCTGGGCAGCTGATTGGTCGGTCAGCATGGCGGCGCTCCCCCGCACTTCTTCGCAGGTTGCCACTAGCGACTCGTACGGCTGGTACACCTCCACCGTGAACCTCTCCTAAAGTTAGTAGAAATAAATACCACATTTACACTTCCATATTTGGTCTATATAGGTTAATGCAAATAGGGCCATGATTGTGGAAACTTAACACCACTCTATACGGCGTTTTGTGCATGCGCATAGTGCGGCAGCACCATATAAGGAACATGTAGATACGCAGGCTACAAACACCAGGGTTAAAAACAGGTTCTGTTTAACAACAAGATGAGGATCATTCAAACAGACAAACAGAGAGCAAAGGTATGCACGCTACCTGCAGATGCTGGAGGTCCTGTGGCAAGGTTTCAACCTGAACACGAGCTGGGAAGAGGGCGGCCATGGCTCCCCGAGCACCCCTCACCCCCTCCCTCACTCTCCCCAGCTCCTCCCCCATCTTCCCCGACCTCTCGCGGCGCGCGTGGAGCTCGTCGTACCAGTTCTGCCAGGCCAGCTGGAGGTCCGACCAGTCCTGTATGAAACCGGTCAGACGGGTTTCGAGGTCGTCGTTGGCAGTGCTGGTCTGGGGCTCGGCAACTATTTCACGTCCGAGACTGAGCAGAGAGTCGACTTCTGGTTGTTTCGCTGTCAGTTGAGAACGGAAATCCTTTGGAGAGGAAAGAGGGAGGAAGAGAAAAAGAAGAGTGTTACAATAAAGGGAATGTGGCAGTATAATTACAAAGAAGCATTAGGCTGGGTTCACAATAATATGTTGCATTGCCCCCGCGCGATAAAGTTGTGACACCTAGCTTTATTCTTTCTACCACTGATGTACGTAATAGTCACACACGCGTATTATCAAATGTGACGATGTTTAATCGCTCAATTTATCAACTACGGAGTTAGACTCAGTTTGTTCACACACTCATACGGACGTGACCTGGCAGGTCTCGACTTGCTCCTGGAGTCTCGAGGCACTCTCCCCGACAGGTTTCTCGTTGCCAAGGAGACGGTTGCCTTCCTCTACAAATTCCTTCAGTTTCCCGTAGCAACTGTTGAACTCGTTCAACTTGGCGAGCAGGTTCTCGACCAGTTTTGACCTGGCGTCCACCTTGGACTGGAGACTGGTCCACTGCGACTGCAGGTAAAGTCAATACACGCTGAACAAAACAAATTCAGCGCATTATTGGCGGGGAACATAGAGATAGGGACAGCGAGATATAGCTATTCCATACTCCAACTGTAGTCAAAGTATTGAGGATAGTTGGTTTGTTTCTCCTTCCATTCATGTGTGCAAAAAAAATGCAAAATCGTTGACACCCTCAGTGGGGGGTGGGGATTCAGCGCATTATTGGCCTGGCAAATGTGGGTTAAAAAGTTCAGATTATCAACTCCTCTATTTCATACATCAATCCAACTGATTCCAGTTCTCATGTTTCCATTCCTGGTTCTAGTGTGGAATGGAATAGAGACTGGCCAACCTGAAGTGCGTCAGCCTGCAAGACGAAGGAAGCCTCTGGTTCGGCACTGGGGTCTCTCTCTTCTCTCGTGGCGTCGATGTTGTCGGGAATACTGCCTTGCTTCTTGAGTCTGCGGGCATATCGGTCGGCAAGACTCTGGACCGGCTGAGAGGGAGGGAGTGTGCAAGGGGACGGAATAAGATTGAGGAAAAGAAGAGAGAAGAGGGGACGGAGAATAGGGATGGGAAAATAGAGGAGAGAGAGAACATATTTGTTGCGAGCTAACACGAGTAGTTAATTTTTCATGTGCACAGTTTTGTAGATATATTTTGGTAGGTGCAGTGCTTATACGTACGTAATAATATACATACAAATAGAAAATTCCGCTTGAAGTAGGCTCGATTTGCTTGCAAACTATACGTCTCTACTAAAATACCTCAGTCTCCATCTCAAACTTGGTGGCCAGTTCCTCCAGCCTGTCGACCTCCCTCTTCCTCTCCTCCACCTCCTTTGCCAGCTCCCCCATCTCCCTCCTCTCCCTCTCCAGCTCGCCGGCGGCCACCTCCACCAGCGGGAGGGACGCGAAAGTCTCCGTCTTGGTGAGGAGCCAGTCCTCCAGAGGATTCTTGACTCTGTCAAACTCTCTTGCAATCTCCTCTAGTGGCTCCAGACCCGTCAGTCTAGTGGACGAGAGGGAAGGAGGAGAGGGTGGAGTTCAAACGTGGTAAATTTCTAGCAAATTTTGAGGTTTAGAGAATGGTTATCTTCTTAACTCATATATATGTAAATGTGAGGTTTTAAGTATCTCATTACGTCCTTCGACATCAGGGTTAAAATTAGAAAGAAAAACTAAAAAAAGAAACAAAACAATAGGGTCATAGTGAAAGGATGTAATATTTAGTACCAGTTGCTATTATTTCGGACTACCTACACGTACACTATGAAATTCCCTGAATGTGTAATCTTGAAACAATATACTATTGGTCTCACCTCTCGTCGGTCTGTCGCAGTATCTGCTGCCAGCGGGATGTCATCTGAGAGACGCGACCCTCCAGCCCTGGAGGAGGGGGACTGGAGGTGATTCTAGTGACACGGCCCTTCGCCGCAGACAGCTGCTCTCTTTCAAATGCCTGTTTGCAGATAGAGAAAATCATAATTTCGGCCTGACTTGCACATCATAATTATGTGCTAGCATTATTTTTTTACTTTAATCCTTCACACACACTCTATGATGTATTTTTAATCCCTTGCTCTAGGTTTTTACAACTTTAACCCTGTGTGCAAAAATATAATTTTAACCCCTTGCTCACTCGGTGTTCCTCAATCTGTCCCAAGATGTTCTGGTTGGCGGCAAATTTCCCGCATGACACAAGCCACACCTCCAGCTCCTGGATACTATCCTCCACCTTGACGACCTCCTGTGCCTCCGTGGCAACCGAGGACGCCACTTCGAGGCGAGACAGTAACGAGGCGTGTTTCGATTTAACCCTTTCCACACTGTAGAATGGAAACAGTAACATCAAAACACATTGTCACCAGCAATTTGCTGATGCGATTATTTTTCCTTCTATATTCAATCCCTATTCCTAAAGTATATACATACGTACATATGGACCCCTGAGGGAACTACCCAGTGAGGCGGTGTTGAGGGAACTACACATTTTTAATGTGGTGAAGTGGTGTTAGTGTTTATATGTAGATACTACCTGTTGTCGACGGTCTCAAGATTGTGATAATTCCCATCTTCCAATTCCTCCACACCACTGCCCATCTCTGCCAGTGGCTTCTCCAAGTTCTACACACAGACACACAGAGAAACAGAGTAGAGTTCATCGTCATTATATACCACCGAGTCCATGTAGTGCAGTCAGTGTGGGTGTTGCTAGGGGGTGTGGTCTCACCTGTAACTTGTCTCTAATGGCGACGGCATTCTCTTGAACAGTCTGAGGAGGGAGGGAGGTACAGGAGGTCTCGAACTCCTCCACCTCACTCTCCAGGGTGTCGAGGGTGACTGAGGCAGTGGCACAGGAGGTGAGGATCGACTGGGCAAGGTCTTCTAGCTTCTGGAGTCTGGAAGAGAAGGGGGGAGGGAGGGACGGAAGAAGGATAAGGTTATCAGAACATATGCACACTTGGTTTTACGCATGTCTCCACAACTTGGTAGCGAGGTAGAAAGGCAAGGCAAGGCAAACAAGTCAACTACACCCAGGACAGCTCTTTCTTTTCAAAGAAAAGAAGAAGAGCTGCCCTAGGTGAAAAGAAAGAGCTGTCATGGGCGGGATTCGAACCCACGACACTCTGCAATCTAGGCGAGCGCTCTACCAACTGAGCTACCAGGGCAACTCGGCAGGTTTGCATGGGATATATGGCGCCGTGGGAACCTCAATAGTTGTAAGTGGGAACCTGTGGCAATTCAATAGTTATGTGCAGTAGATTTAGTAAACCTGTCTTCACATGTGAGTGTGGCATGTGTCCACATTAATTTATACCCTCACTTCTTTGCAACATGTACTCCCATATACTGTACTCCCATATACTGTACTCTCATATACTTTACTCTCATATACTGTACTCCCATATACTGTACTCTCATACACTGTATTCCCACATACTGTACTCCCATATACTGTACTCTCATACACTGTATTCCCACATACTGTACTCCCATATACTGTACTCTCATACACTGTATTCCCACATACTGTACTCCCATATACTGTACTCTCATACACTGTATTCCCACATACTGTACTCCCATATACTGTACTCTCATACACTGTATTCCCACATACTGTACTCCCATATACTGTACTCTCATACACTGTATTCCCATATACTGTACTCCCATATACTGTAATCTCACTTGTCAAGGTGAGCCTTCATGGCATTCTCGCACTCCTCATTCTCCCTCTGTAGCTCCGCCCACTCTTCCTCCAGGGGTTCAAAGGTCATCTCTGCGGGAACGGGAGCCCCTCTCTTCTTCTTGGCGGCCTGCTCGACAAGTCTGGTGTACATGTCTTTCAGTGTTGCCATATCTCTCTGGTGTAATGGTAGCTCTTTCGTCTTGTAGGTTTGAAACCCTTCTGCGTTCACCTGTGGTGGCAGCATAGGTAGAGTTACACTACATGTACACACTAGAACCTCCAAATATGTAAGGGACGCTATGGGGCCAACGATTTGTCATTTGTAGAGAGGTCGTCCCTATCTCGGAGGTCAAATAATACACTATAGCATGGGGTTGAAACAAGTGTCCTTTGTAGAGAGGTCGTCCCTATCTCGGAGGGTCCCTTATCGGAGGTTCCACTCTACACAATCTTGGCAGCTTGAGACCAAGGGGGACGCCCATAAAACACAAAATAATGAATTCAGTTGTCTTCTGCGTGACTTTATAAAAAAAATTTAGGCACATGCATAATTACGGCTCTGCTGTGAACCCTGACCTTCATCTCGGCGACGGAATTGGGGAAGTTCCTTTTCGCCACCTCATTTCTCTTGGACTCCACCCACTTCCTGGTTGCCGCGAACAACTCTCCATAGTCCTCCACGGAAACCTCGGGACCCTAGTTACAGAAAGCCAGATTTCTGTTTAATTTACCATCTCTGGAACACGAGATCAGAGTTATAGCACAAGCAGATCCGGAAGTATATTCCTTGCCGAGGCATAATGCAGAACAAAGAGAGTTTATTGGCGCACGTGTGTTAGCTTAAAACAACTAAGAGAGGTGTAGTGTATACACAGAGATTGATATACTTACCCTTTTCCTTCTCGAGGGAGGCATGTCGGGGAAGGCATTGTGCAGGAATGAGACGTATGTCATCACCGCCTTGTCATCCGGCTTTTCAACATGGATATCTGGTGGGTCCGGAGGGAGGGAGGGAGACTGAAGGACGATGTACCATAAATTGTGTAAGAATTTGGTGCTTCGGAATACAGTGAAACGTCCGAAAAGAGGTCTTCCGAATATTTCTTGGAAGGCTATAGTGAGTTACTCATTCCTCCAGCCACGCAATCACTACAAACAGAGTTCGTACAATTTATTACCTTCGGGGTCGATGATCCTGACGATTCCAAGTTCCTTTTCTGCGACGCTCATGGCCAGTTCGAGGTTGGAGAGGGGAGTGTCGGGATCGCAGTCGTCGTAGTTGAGGAGTTCGGGTCTGTGGCGGTCTATGATGGCGCAGAACGCAAGTCCGTCTTTCCATGACGTTGTGAAGTTTCTCACTTCTACTTCCTCGTAGCTGAGGAGAGGGAAGGGAGGAGAGGGGGGAGGGTGGAGAGGGAAGGGAGGAGAGGGAAGGGAGGAGAGGAGGAGAGGGAAAGGGAGGGAAGGGAGGGAGAAGAAGTATGAGAAAGCGATGATCATGCAAACATAAAAACACAACGCCACAATTACAAGGAGCAAAGGCAAAGAAAAGGCTTCCCCTACCCCTCGGTCGCGGCCTGTGCCCATTGCAGCAGTTTCTTCTTCAGTTCAGCTGCCGAGACTTCGACCGGGGACATCGCTCTACTTCCGCTCTCTGACGGTTGCATGGCGCCTGAGATCTGAGGAGAGAGAGAAGAGGAGGACGACGATGTAAACTAAACTTCTCACGCTTTTACACGAAGAAAGAAAGAGAGCTACGAAAGAGATGGGAAGGCTTATAAGTTGGCTTCATTGTACGTACACCACCTCCATTACGAGACATACGAAGTGGTGACTAAAGGCAGCCATCAAGAAGATGAAGCTAGATTGACTGCACACTAAAATCTCACTTGGCACGTACGGTAGCAGAACAAGCATGACAGTAACGGTAAATTTTCAAGAGCAAAAGGAAGGTTTCTTATTACAACTGCTAAATGCGTTCCCTCAACATGTGAAAGCCCTTCGTGCCATGTGTCATGAACAGTACCCAACAAGTATATGCAGTATGTAGGAGTATACAACCAAATGGTGTTATATCATAACTCTTCTTGGAAGTATTATGGAATTCACCACTTCAAAGACACTCCATACATTCTATATACCACTAGGGCTAGGGCCTCAGCATACACATGGAGTAAATACTGGGAATTGACTGTATATACATCCAGTGGGTATGGGAGCAAATACTGGGAACTGACTGTATCACTAAGCATGGTAGTACTTAGTATATATAATATGTCAGTAGGTATGCACATAATTGTACCTGGAAGCGTAATATGAGAGACCAGACCAGGCCGAGGGTTGGTGTGGGTTTCCCCTCTACCAGACTCTCACTGTGGATGTTGACTAGCTTCATCTGGAGGGAGGAGAGGGAGGAGGGAGGGAGGGAGGGAGGAGAGGGAGGAGAGGGAAGGAAGCGTAATTGGTTGCATGAAGAAAGAGAGACAGCAAGGAATGAAGGAAAGGTGTCCAGGAATAAATGGAGAAAGGAAGCAAGAAAGAGTGGCAAAAGAGTGGTAATAAAAAGGGAATGCAGGTGTATATCGAAGAACCCTGGAAACTTACTTGCACTGGGCGCCCCATTATTTAGTTCTATCTTTAGTAAGTTTCAGTCCTTACATACATGTCACCACAGGCAGAAATCAAAATTCTCACCTTGTTCTTGGTTGTGAGGTAATCGAGGACGTTCTGGATATTCTGGAGTTTGTGGACTCTCATCTTCCCTTTCTCCCTCCGCTGGACACACAGATGGGAGAGAGAAGTAGTGAGCAGTACACTAATGTAGACATTGTCGTAACAATTGAAACTATGTATTTCACATGTACGAATCTCGATTCTGTTTTTTACTGCGCTACATTGCACACATTGGTGATCTAAAACAAGCTTCCAGTTGTGCGCTGTTGTATGTTGGTGCAGTGTCTCGTTCCCATGTTTGGTACCAGTTTCTCCCCGGTCAAGAGCTCGATGAGCATGAGGAGTCTGCTGCCGTCTCTGAGATCCTCGTACAGGTCGTTCACCTTCTGCCCAACCTGGAGCGACGTGAAACAAACGTATGGCCCGGATACAATATGCACTACAACTAATGCATTATACACCAGAACCTTAGGACATACAAACACAGTAAACCAACTGCATTCACACGTTCTATCAAAACTCTTCCCTCCCCATATTAACAACTATATTTCCCGTGGGATAAGGTGCAGCTATAATATTCACTCACTGGTATCTGTGTAATTATGTATATTATTATACCTTGAGTAGATGGGAGTTTATCCAATTTGTGAACGCCTTTTTCTGGACTCTCTCGTACTCTCCTGTCACGTGGATCAGAGGAGGGAAGGAGAGGAGAGAGAGAAGGAGAGGAGAGAGAGAAGGAGAGGAGAGAGGGAAGGAGAGGAAGAGAGAAGGAGAGGAGAGAGGGAAAGAGAGGAGAGAGAGAGAAGACAAGTAATTAAGTACACTAACACACAGAGGGTGGATGTCACGGTTTCTGCACAAACCATAATAAAAGTTTCATTTCAAAAAATTTGTGGGGCGGAATCACTTTTTATGACAAACCATTATTTAAATTTAGGTTTTCAGCCGAATGGTAAAAGCTCTACCTCGAAGGTTTTCTCCATCTAAGAGGCAATAAAGCCAGGTAATAAACCACATCAATGAGTGAACAAAGGAGCATCAGTTTGGTCCAAAGAGCTGTGAGGATGTATTGTCTTCAAAAGCCACGGCCCTACTCTGCGCAATACATCCTCAGAGGAAGTGGTGAATCTCCAAAACCATACAGTGGAACCTCTCTTCAAAGGACACCCCTGAAACGAAGACACTCTCTAATACGGACACCTTTTCTCTGAGCGGTTTTGTAACCCCAGAAATAAGGACACCTCTCTCGTAACTACACCTTCTTTCGTCCCTTGATGTCCATATCAGATATAATATACACATTTTTACATCAGACAAGTATTATTATCCCCTTCATACGTATAAAGGGCCCACTGCAATGCATGTATGCTAGAAACGTCATTGGTTCACCGCACTCTCGAAAATGTAGGAACCATAGTACTGTAATGCATGCATGCTGGTGATGAATTTCTGCAGGTAGCATTATACAAGTGGAAAAATCATTTCTTCAAAATGAAAGGGGGATATAGGGATGGCTTGAAGCACCAAAAAGGAAGAAACAAGGGGTCATTACACAGCAAAGTTGCACAAAGCTACATGACACCATCCCTATATCTTTGTTT